TTTTTTTTCTGATGGTAAGCTCCCAGTAAAAATTTGTAATACAAATAATTGAGAACCATTTCTGCCATGTTTCATGCTTTTCTGTTTCCAAAAATACTGAGTCACAAAATAAAATATTAAATTAAGACATTGTCAAAAATAGAAAAGGCTTCAGATAAAGTTTTAAAAAACTTAAAAAGTGTTTGGTTTATCATTTTTATTCCATTTTTGTTGTTGTTTCTTCCATCAAGAAAAATCTCTCTCCTAGTGGTATTAGATCTTGTCTCTTAATCCATACTCACTATCTTCTTCAGTGCCTAGCATGTTTTGTTAATGGCTAACTTGAAGAGTACTCCTAGATCTTAAGGAAATCAGTGGGGTATAGTAAGATGCTATACACAGTCTAATTCTTCCTCCCCTACAGCTAGCTCAAAAAAAAAAAAAGTCAAATGTATTTGGTTTTAGGTGGAATTTAGACTCTGGAAAGAGATCAGGATTAGGGGGCTGTTTCTGCTGTTTAACCTTATGCGTGGCTCTCTAAGCCTTTGTAGCTTCACCTACAAAGTGTGAAAAATAACAGTATCTAAGTCATAGGGTTGTTTGGGGGAATAAATAAATAAATAATGCATGTGAAACACTTTGTAGTGTGTCCAGAATATCATGAGTATTCAGTATACAGTTTAAAAGAAAGAAAGAAAGAAAATCCCTGCATGTGTGGAGTCTGTGTTCTGTGCCTTTCTTATCCTTTGGGTGTTTTAGTCTCCTCAAGGCCACTGTGGAATACATGTGGCGTTAAGGATGGCAAGTCCATCTGCAGTCATTGTGGGCAGCATCTAGAAACTGATGCTTTTCCAAGTCAGAATTAATTAATGGGTTCCAAATAGCCAGAAGGAAAAGTGAAATTGACATGGTTTTGAAAGGATTTCTCTTTACATGCTTTCTTTTCTTTTGTTTTTTTTTTTGTTTTTGTTTTTGTTAAACAGTGCCTTTGAAGATGAGGCCAAGAAGCTCCGACAGCTGAAACTCGATAATCAGGTGAGCACAGCCTCCTCTTTTGAAATAAGTGGAGAGCTATACTGACCGTGATGCTGTTTGTCTTGACTCTGAAGTCTTGGCAGGGTCATGGAAGAAAGGCTGGAAAGGAAAAGGTTCTGACGTTACTCAACAGTGTCTGCAAGTTAGTATTTGCTGAGCCAAGGCCCTGGGCTTGGCAAGACCAACGTGCTTTGAGGACATCAGCAATAAAACTGGCCTTGACTTTGTAATCACTGAAAATTCCTTGGCACCTTTCATAAGAATTAGAAGAATGTTAACATTGTAATTCTATGTAGCTACTTGGCTCAGCTGCCTGAAATACCTCCCTACACTGTCATTTCATATAACTACAAGATTTTTTTCTTCTCCTAATGTGCTGATCTGAACATGCTGCTCTGCTGTTTAAAAACTTCCATTGCTTACAGAATAATTTTCTTTACACTAGTCCCAATTTGAGCTACACATTTAAAGAAAATTTTTTTTGCGGTGATTGGATTTATGTTTGTTCCTCAACTAGACTAAGTTCCATGAGAACAGAAAGCAAGTCTGTTTATGATGACTATTATATCAGAAGTTCCTAGCATAAAAGCTGGGCACATAATAATCCTTCATGAAATATTTGAGTGAACGAGGGATAAATGAACAGTTTTGTGTTGTCACATGCTATGATCATCGTATTTAGTCAGTGAGAGCCTATACCCAACAGAGCATAATTGCTTTTTTGTATGAATGTTTTTTAATTTAGGAAATGCTATAGCTCTAGTCTACCTATTTAGGACCATTAACAATCAAAGTGTCTACACTCCATAGGGGACTAAAAATACCTCTAAAGTTTTGCCTTGTTCTTTATGTTGCTGTTGCAATTAATGGAATTCTAGTGTGATACATTACTTTGAAGGTGGAATCATTAAAAACTAGGGAAGAGGTATCCGGGAGCGTGCAGGGATGTGTGGAGCTACCCCCCACAGCAGCGGGAGGCGGGGATGAGGGATGGGAACGCCACGTGCATCCCTGGAAACGCTGGGGCACTTGTGCTCCTATGCGGATGCCCCCGCAGGGCACCTTCCAAGCCCTTCGTGGCAGTGGCGCTGCCGTGGGGACTGTCATGGCATTCCACTGCCTCTCAGGCCACCAGATGGTGGGGCACAGTGTCCAGTGGTTTTGAGGGGTCCCGTGTGCCAGCCCGTGCCACCATAGGAGACCTTCCTCTTCAAGGCTGCGGGGATCGCCTCTGTTGTAGCTGCGCCAGCGTCCTGCTCACCCAGGCCTTCCTCATCTGCTGCCTCAGGAAGTGCGAGGAGAGGAGTGAGCCTCGGTGCCGAGACAGGGTGCCCCAGGTGTGGCTCCAGCCGCCCAGCTTGGCCTCAAGGTCCTGAATAGTGACAGCAACACCGTGGCAAGCCTGGAACAATGCCTGCCTGGTGCACCCCACCAGCTGGTCACCTGTTTCTCCATGTGTGTCCAGCTCCAGATTGATCAGTGAAATCCACTTCCAGGCTTAGGATCCTTCAGGGCACCCTGATGCCCATGGCTGGGGGCCTCAGGCAGGGTGACTTGTCCCCAGGGGAGCACAACTGTAGCAGTTTTTATGGCTTGAAACCATTGCTGAGGTTATATACCAGCTGCAGCCCCCCTCCAACCGGCTTCCTTTAAAGAGACAGAACATTTTAAGAAAATCTAGTTTTTCATGGCAGAGTAGGAAAACCGCAACAAGTGTCCTAGCAATTACAGATGGCTGCCTTTGCCCCTCCCTCCACGGGGACGCTGCCTCAAAGTGGGGACCCAGCTAGGGTTATGCATCTGTCATGTCGATGGGGGGTGTGAAATAAACAGTTCTTGCTAATACCAGAAAAAGTAAATAAAATGAAGAAACTAATCTTCCTGGGATCATGGGGGAAATTTTTATTTTCTATACGCGTGTATGTTTATTCCCACCACAAAGATCTGGATAATTGTGACAGCCTTTATTTTCATATTCCATTGCATAGCAAACTGTATTTAAGGAGAAATAACCACAAGGCTTTAGACCTGAGTTTGATTTATTTTTGTAAGGCTAAATGGTACATCCCTTGTTAACACTAATGAAATCTATGGTCACCTACCAAGTAATGATATAAGACATACATTTTTGAGTTTTGTGTGGTTTCTGAATTTTGTGTATAGATATATTTTTTGGATTTTTAAAAAAGATCGCCCAAATATTTTGTAATTTTTATTCTTTTCAGTGAGAATGCTACATGTGGTATGTATGTAGTATAAATGTTGGAATTTTGTGAGCCTTTTTATAACACAAATATTTTTAAATTATCTTTTTAATAATAATATATATGATAAGAATTCAAATAATACAAAAAGGTATTTGATGAGCAATTCTCCCCCTCCCTCGTCCCCACTTGGCTCAGTTCTTTGCTAGAGGCTGTCACTGGGTTCTAATTTATCATTCCAGAGATAGTCAAGGAATATAAAGACATACAATTTTATTGGCTTATTTTTTATTCGAGAAAAATCTCTTTGGACCACATGTATAAATTTTGGCGTTACATAGTGTATGAGAATACTGCCAGAGCCCTGAAACGCTACCATGCGCATAAGGAGGAGGTGACTCAGCAGGGGGGAAGGGGACGTCCACTCATGAAGCCAAACATTCCCATGGCCTGTGGCAAGAGAGGCAGCACCATGCAGGGAGGTAAAGTGGCCTGGGAACCAGAAGACTGGTTCCAGTGCTTCCAGCTCTGCCACTAATTAGCTGTGTGAATTTAGATAAGATCCTCAAACTTAATGGGCCCCAGTGACTTCATCTCTAAAGTGAGATCAAACTGGATAAAATAATAGAATGTTAGAAAGGATCTTGGCGTGTGGCAGTTAGAGAGAGCTGGCATACAGGTAGATTGAGGGAAGCCAGTGTCTTGGTGGGAGGCTCCCGGTTCAGGGCATGCTTACCTGTCTGAGGAATACAGTGGTGTACTGTATACGCCCCCATCCATGACAGTGGTGTACTCTGGCTGTGATTGTTTGGCAGTGGTTTTGAACAACTCTATTGAGATGTACTTTACATACTGATGAAAAGGCTTATGTCATGTTGTAGCATATATTAGGACTTCATTCCATTTTGTGCACATACCACATTTTATCTATTCATCAGTTGATGGACATTTGGGTTGTTTCCACATTTTGGCTCTTACAGATAATGCTGCTTTGAACATTAGTGTACAAATTATTGTGTAGAGATACTTTCATTTCTCTTGGGTAACATACCTAAGTATAGGTATATCAAGGTATGTATACCTAATATATCTTGGGTTTTAGGAGTGGGATTGCTGGGTCATATGGCAACTCTATGTTTAACATTTTAAGGAACTGCCAGACTGTTTTCCAAAGGCACTGAACTATTTTACATTCCCATCAGCAATGTACAAGGCTTTCAGTTTCTCCACATCCTTGCTGATGCTTATTATTGCCTTTGATTATAGCCATTTTAGTGAACATGAAGCAATATCTTCTTATAGTCTCAATTTGCATTTCCCTAATGACTAATGATGTTGAGCATTTTTTTAAGTACTTACTGACCATTTGTATGTCCTCTTTGGAGAAATGTCCATCCAACTCCATTGGCGATTTTTAAATTGGGTTATTGTCTTTTTGTTTTTGAGTTGTAAGTGTTTTTTGTATAGTCTAGACCCAAGTTTCTTATCAGAAATATTATTTGTAAGTGTTTTCTCCAATTCTGTGGGTTGTCTTTTTACTTTCTTGATGGTATCATTTTTTTTTAAACTATTTATTTTATTTTATTTTATTTATTTTTTTTTTAAAGATTTTTTTTTTATTGGTGAATTGGGGGGATGGGAACAGTGCTGGGGAATTGGAGGAAGGGGAACAGACAAGTTGCTGTCGTTTTGTTCTTCAGTCTAGTTGTGGAGGATGTTGCTTCACTGGCCCAAGTTGGCACCATCATTGCGCTCTTCCCGGGTGAGGCAGATCAGTCGCCGGCTTCTGGACGGCCGCTCACTGCGGCTGCTGGCCGCTCACGCTGGCTGCTGGCTACACACGGTAGCCCATGGCAACCCACTGCCACAGGGACTGCAGCCCACGCTGTCGCCGGCGACTCACAGCAGCCCAGCTCCAGGTTGAGCCGTTGTTCAGCATCTTAGCTGTAGAGGGCAGTGTCACTGGCCCTCATATGTGGGATCCGAACCGGGGCCCTCTGGCATCCCAAGCGAGTTCTTAACCATCGCGCCACTCGGCCGGCCCTGATGGTATCATTTTTAACACAAAAGTTTTAATTTACCTTTTCTTTCGTTGTTTGCACTTTTGGTGTCATATCTAAGAAACCATTGTCTACTCAAGGTTACACAGACTTGCTCCTATGTTTTTTTCTAAGAGTTTTCCACTTTCTCTGATCTGTTTTGAGTTAATTTTTGTATGTGGTGTGAAATTGGGGTCCATCTTCATTCTTTTGCATATCCAGTTCTCCCACCATTTATTGAAGAGCTATTCTTTCCCATGGAGTGTATTTTGCTTTTATTTTTACTGGTTTCACTAGGGTGCTCATATTTTCAGGATATGTGGACACCTTAGCTGGCTACAGAATGTAAAAGTTTTCGGACTCTTCTAGTGATGTTACTCAGACATGGACACACATTAGGTAAAGAGCATTTATGCCATCTGGTGGACAAGGGATTAAAGTACAACACAGTCCCTTGAGGTCAGGTTGCCAATCTTTTTCTACACACCCCTCTGAGAGAGGCAGTGATCAATGCATTGAATTGGTACTTTAAGAAGTCTTATTTAAAACTTTTCATTTTATCTTCCTATGATCTCACTTTGTGTGCCAGGAAGGTTAGTTATTTTTTAGCCAAACTGATAGATCTCAGGCAACCGTTCCGATCTTGTTGGTTGTACCTTGTGGTCAGCCAGTCTATTCCAAGAGTTTCATAATGTAACCAGCCCATCATCTCTAAGAAGTCCTTGGAAAATTGAGAATCGGTGAAGTTAAGCTATCA